CCCCTAGTAGCGTCCTTGCTCCTAGTAGCGATGCCCTTTGCTCCTAGCCTAGTAGTAGCTTGATTTTTGTGGCTCTTTTGTGGCTTCATTTTGTGGCCCCTTTCAAAAGCATCCCGAAGGAAGTTGTGAACGACATGGGCTAGAATCTGAACAAACATTGTCCTGTCCATCGTAATTGAATCTATGATGACTGAAGACAATGTCGGTCAAGCACAGTATCCTTTTAGCCAACAAGTTTGATCAATGGTTGTTCATAAGACACCTCACTCACTGAAAAATGCCACCAAAAACGGCTGGAAATCCAACATGTTCACCTCTGCACTCCAGCGAATTTACTGAACCAACACGGAAGCTGAATTCTCGACGTGAGAAATAGGGAATAGATGAGCTTCCATCGTAGAAAGGAAACCACCTGAAATGGCTTAACAGCTGATAGAGCCGAGTTTGGGCAATATGTGTCTTTTTTGTGCCGCTGAACTGTTGTTTTCTTTTAGTCTCCACTCCACCCCGCAAGCAGCATGGCATTCTCTTGGCAAAAGCACGCTGTGTCCATGGAGCCAATTTCATGGCGAAGAGGTACAGGTAAAGAAAGAGAACGCTCGGATCCTCCACAGCTGTTCGGGCATCGCTACTAGGGGCTCCTGGCCTTACCACTAGGAGCAAGGACGCTACTAGTAGGGTACCAATAAAGTCATATTGCAAATAGCACTCTGGTGACTCACAGCAACCCACAGCCTGAAGCCTTTGAGAAATTCATTGTGTGTTGGGCAACGTCCGAAGCGCATCAAAGCCAAACAAATCAGTCATTAAGGCCAGCATTCTGCCTGCCAAAGGACACAGCAAGTCTATTGATGCAAAATACGCTAGTTTTCTCACCCCAAAGCAACAGGAGACATAAAGGCCATGTATAGCTGCCATGCATGTATCTTTGCAAATAAAATAATTGAACCAATACGTGTGACATCTTCTGGAAGACATATATGGTATGAAATTCCATGCAAAGTCCTAGCCTAGTGTCCAAGTATGAAGTTCCAACAATAAACACACATCACACAATACCTAGAGCAAAGGAACCAATAAATTTGTCTAGGTGAATGTGGATATTGGATGATTTTGGTACTTCATGACAGCTGGACACACCATGGTTGGGTTCCGTTGGATGCTGATGAGTAGCCCAGAAGCTCATGCAAGTTACAAACTGTTTCAATTTCAAACATGTAAAACGCCCTTTAAGCAATATATAGTATATATATATATATCAAAATAAATCAACTTATATATACAAATGAAAACACTGGAATGGAAAAATATGTAAAGCCTCTTGAAAAGGAAGCCTTACCTTCCTTTGTTCGCCTCGGATGTTTCTTTGATTGCATA